ACCCATATTTATCTTAACTTTGTAGATACAATGCTGTATATTATGCAGCTATGCAAAGTGCCAGCTAAAATACTTTTCTGCAGGATGGCCTCAACAGTCCCATAACCTATTCTCAGAGTAGCATTTTTATTCACTGATCTTCTGTGACTCAGCAGGAGATTCATTCTGCCATTAAGGCATTCATAATCAGGAGGATCAGCGGCAATTTCTGTAGCACCACTGGATATCCTTCTTATTAATTCACATAATGCCCATTTTTATCTCTCCAAACCTGCATTTCCTGCCTATATAATGTTTGTGTGGCAAGCTTTTGGTAGCAAGGAAGTTAGGTTTGGCTTCTGTGAGAAGCTGCTAGAAGCTTCCCCCATATCTGACAGAGCCAATGCCAGCCAGCTCCAAGACAGACCCACTGCTGGTCAAGGCCAAGCCCATCAGTGACAGTAGTAGTGTGCCTGGGGTAATGTAAGAAGGGGAAAAAGCTATTGTGCAACAGCAATTGCATCCAGAGAGTATGTGAAAGAAACAGCCCTGCAGACACCCAGGTCAGTGAAGGCTGAGAGGAGGAGGTGCTTCAGGCACTGGAGCAGAGATTCCCCTGCAGCCCATGGTGCATCCCATGGAGAGGCAGCCTGTGCCCCTGCAGCCTGTGTAGGTCCATGGTGGAGCAGGGGGATGCCTGAAGGAGCCTGTGAACCTGTGAGAAGCCCACACTGGAGCAGGCTCCTGGCAGGAGCTGTGGCCCCATGGAGAGAGTAGTCCACACTGAAGCAGGTTTGCTGCAAGACCTGTGACCCCTGATGGAGCAGTCTGTTCCTGAAGGTCTGCACCCTGTGGAAGGGACCCATGCTGGAGCAGCCCGTGGGCAGGACTCATGTTGGAGAAGTCCATGGAGACCTGTCTGATGTGGGAAGGACCCCATGCTGGAACAGGGGAAGAGTGTGAGGAGTCCTCCCCTGTGGGAGGTAGTTTTCAATGTTTGAGTTAATATAGTTGTGTTTGAAACATAGATTAAAAATGCCAAACTGCCTGTCTTAGATAAACAGAGCAAGTTGGAGCCGGTCTATCTTTACAGTCATGACTATAGTTACATCTGGTTAATGTGCGAAAAAGGAAAAATACATCTGGATGACTTTGAGAAGTCTCTTGCATTCTCTATTGATTCAATCTAGTTTCTTAACCAGCCTTTTAGGTTTTCTTTATGCACTGAAATGCATGTATTTAAAATTAAGTTTATGAATGGAGAGGCTCCTGAAGTCAATGCATCTCATTCTGTGATTTAAGCAACTTTTTGTGCATCACTAATAGTGTCACAGGACATAGAACCTGATATGTTTTTTGTGTGCTTCAGGAATTCAACAAAAATTGAGTGAAAATATGTATTGTGATTAATCTTGAAAAATATAAGGATGCCATATTACTTACAGACTCATTTCTTCAACATAAGTACCTTTGGGTTTTCCTGCTGCTTTCATCCGACTTCAGTATCATCTGTGAATGTGCAGCATTAAACCTTTTTTAAAGATAATTAAGATACAGAGGAAAAGTTCTGTAGCACTAAGTGGTGTAGCATGCACTTCATTTCCTTTCACAGCCTAGTACATTTCTGCTTATTACTACTTTGTGCTTATTTTCCTTTCAAGCTTTTTTTTGTGTTCAATTCACTGCTACTAAAATACTACTTCAAGTAAAACTTCAAGACGCATACTGGATTCTAAAGAAGTTATATATTCTGTTTCTCTGAATAAGGTTATATGCTTCTTAGTATTCTAAAGCTCTTTCTTGAGTGTTTTTAGTACTGATTCATTTTACACATAGTAAATGTGACGGATAGTTGTGGAGCAGCCTTTCATAGACACCTTTGTATATGAGGATGTTGCAACTGGGAGAAAAAAGTCCCACATAGCCTGGAACCTTTTACTTAATATTTTCGTCATGTAAAGAATATATGACTTAATGACAACATTAGTAGATGTCTTCAGATTTAAAATATGTCTTACAGAAACAAGACTACCTCTTTGTCTCTTTTGAAGGAGTTTTTCCAATCAATTTATTTCTAATATGCAATATAGTAAGCCATAATGTAACTTCTGCATCATAGTGACACGTCCTCTATAAATTTGTTTTGTGCAAAATATTTTTCTTTAAAATTATCAATTTTAAATTAGTCAATTGGCTAAACCCAAAGTGTTACATCGCAGACATGCAAACATAGTTTTCCAGAGTACCATCACTGGCTGTGATGGCAGCAGCTATTGAGATGTCTACATCATTTGGTTAGTTTGCAGTATAATGTATTTTTGGAGCAAATGCCATGTTTGTCCTCATTTTCTGTGCTTTGTTTCAGTTCACAGAATGTTTGGCACCAACCACACAATGCTTCTTCTCTTGTTTACTTATCTGGACAGCTGTGATTGTGTGTAGAGACTTTGCAAGCAGGATATAATTGCTTTGTGCTCTTAAGCTATAAAATTTATTGGCTAAGACACACAGTAGGTATCTGGGAATGTTGCAGTACTCATCATCCCTGTGGAATTGCCAATGAGTCCTTACTAACCTGGCAGTCAACAGTCAGGTGGGAAAGGTTCAATCTCTATTGCTCCCTGAAAGAGATTTGTCTTTGGTGCTGCTGAATTACCATCCTCCAGCTCCATGGATTTCTTCTTTGAATTTTACACCTTGTCATGTCAGTGCTTTTCCTCTTCAAGTCTTGAGCTGCTAACTAGACCCATCTCAAGAATTTTACATGTGTCTGGAATTGTTCCTTTCCTGTTTTGCATTGATACCATTCTATGTATTTTATTATAACTTTTGTTAAACCAAGCGGTTTTCTCAACAGATTTAAACAAGATTATGCAGCTGTGCAATTGTGTCATTATGCAGCGGGTCATGGACAGCTGAAAATCCAGGTGCATGGTGATACCTACCTACCTGCCTACAAATCTTCATGATGCCCTCTTCCATCAGGATCTCATCTTTCACTCAAACACTTTCTGGCACAGTATACTTTCCTTTATCACCAATCCTACATTTTTCTATTTTCACCTCTTACAGAAATTCTTTCCAAACATCTTTTGCATCCTCACCCTATTTTCTTTTATGGTGCTTCTTTTTACAATATTGCTCTTTCCATCTGATCTTTCCAATGGCAACAGCTGCTTTGGCCTCCCAGAAGAGCCAGTAAGACAGGGCCTCAGGAAAACAGTGCTGCCTGCAGTTCGTGTGTGCCATCCTCATCACATCTGTGGATCAGCTGTGTGATACTTGATCTGGAAATACTTGAAGTATAAATAAACACATCTGCCTTCCTACAGATTGTTGGAGTAAGATAAATTGGAGCGTGAGTCCTACTGCAACCCACACACAGAATAATAGCCTGGGACTGGCATATTGGGGGTGTCCTCCTGAAGCAGTTTGGGAACCCACTCTCCCTGTGTTAGACCTCATTCAGTTGATCTCCAGGCTCCGCATTGATTGAAGTTGCAGGGTTTTGTTGCATATACTTTTAAGCAGACATACTCAAAACTTCTTCAGTCAGTTCTGACTCAGTCACTCACAATAAGCAAGGCATGCACCCTTTGACTTTATCCTTTTGTGTTTTCCCACAACTGGAATTTCAAACGCACCCCCTTTGTTCTATCCCAAATTAAGCTATGCTCCCACTTTCCTAAAACAGCCCAATGGCCCCAATATAAGCACTAAATGAAAAATTACTATATTTTTCACTAATGGCATATGTATTACTAACATCTTAAACAGAAGTTTAGCATTGAGATGCCCAAGCTTATGTCCAGCACCTCTAGCTATGCTTGTACTCAATATAGGCTACTTCCCATTGCTTAGTGATGCTTTTCAACTGCTTTAATTCAGTTGCATTTCTGTACATAGATCTCTTTTGTCTACCAGCCATTTTAAATTGGGCACATATTTTTGAGTATGAAGCAGCATAAGAAGTGGGTAAAGACCTTCAATGTAACTTCCAGGTATTTAAAATAAATAGTGAAATATTTCCTAAGGACTGATAAAAGTATGGCTAATGAGCTCTTATCTTTTACCTGCCAAAAGAGTGGTGCTAAATCTATTAGAAAGGTAAGTTTTATATGAAAAAGGTATTTTGTACCAAAGGTACTTTTGTAGTGGCTACAGGTATATTGCAGAAATGGTAAAAATAGTCTCTGAAGTTTTTTCTTTATTTTTAAACTCAATTTCCATCTCTCAATACTGTTAACATTTATTGAATCCTTCAAAGCCTCGAGCTGTGATCGTGTAAGATCATATATAAGATGAGTATGCCTTATTTAATTATATCAGTCTTAGCAGGGTCAGAGGCTTACTTTCAATTAAGAAGTGCATTCTAAGGGATAAACATCCTCAAATTCCCTTAAAAAGTAAACAATTGACAAGTTATAAAAATCACCTCAATAATGTCATTGCTTGTACCTGCACAGAATCGTTTGCAGTTTCATAACTTTATTTCCAACCAGTCTATAAGGCAGGAAGCATGCCAATTACAAACTGGAATAATGTATTTTGTTATTCTCAGGAGCAAAGCTAACTCCAACTTCATGTTAAAGAGTCGTACTAAATTCTAGGCACAACCTCCTTAATTATACCGGTCCCTGCAAATTTGTTCAGTGGGAAAGGAACTGATAAGTAGTTTCAGGAATTGTTATTTCCTTTTTGTGAAAGAATAATAAAAAGTGTGAATCACACTTTCCACATAATTTCATTAAATCCTCCATTAGTGAGAAATGACATTTTAATTCCATTTTAAATAAGTTATTTGTGCTTGGAAAGTAACTCTATTAATTTGTTTAAAATTGCTAAGAATCTATTACCTTTGTAGGATGAGTACTGATTGTTGTGCCCTTGGTATCTTCACAACCAAATCATTTGCAAATGAAGGTTACAAACAGCATGCTAAACCAATTGCTGGAAGACAATATAGCATTATTTTTCAGTACTACTTTTAATTAAAATGTATTCCTTCTGTAATCCCACAGCTGACCAAACAGGAATGTTATTTATAGGAGATGCAATAATACAGGTCAGTAAATATTCATTTTTTTCCACAGACATTTGTTTCATACTTGCCTTTATGTTTATTTCATTAACTTACACATTACAAATAACTTTCTCCCTATCGTATCTGTTTTTAGGTTAATGGTATAAATGTAGAAAGTGCTACCCATGAAGAAGTGGTAAGTCATTCCACTTTGATTTTTTTTTAAGTGTACAGTGTCCTCTGTCCATATTGTTCTGTTTCTAGCCTTGTTTCATATGGGTTTGCTCTTTTTACTATAAAGACAAAGTGCTATAGTCAGGTTTTTCATATGGTTTTGGCTGTTAGCATTTTGTCCTGGGTTCAGCAGTAGCAGTCGTGTTTCTCCTTCGTGGTGGCTGGTGCACTGCTGTGCTTTGACTTCCAGCCCGGGAACAGTGCTGGTGGTACCGATGTTTTCGGTTGTTGCTAAGTGATGTTTACCCTGACCAAGGACTTTGTGAGGCTCATGCTCTGCCAGGGAGGAGGGGAAGCCATGAGGAAGCAGAGATGGGGTGCCTGACCCAGGCTAGCCAGGGAGGTATTCCATACCACAGCACATCATGCCTGGGGTGAGGGGTAACTGGGAGTTACCCAGAAGGACACGGGCTTCCAGGTGGGACTCGTTTCTTGGCCGGTGGTATTGTATTCTCTTCCCTTGTTATTTTCTCTTATCATTGTTGTTGTTGGTGGTAGCGGTGGTGATTTGTGTTGTACATTGGTTGCTGGACTGTTCTTGTCTCAACCCGTGGGAGTTGCACTCTTTCGATCCTCCTCCCCGTTCCTCCGGGAGTGGGGAAGGGGAGAGCCCCGGTGGGGGGAGGGGGTGGGGGGGCTCGACTGCTGTCAGCCCGGCACCACTCACTGGGAGTGAGTGAACAAGCTGTTTGGCTAGGGTTTAAACCACAACACATTTGTTATAGTTTCTGCACTCTTACTGTGACTGTAAGATACGCACTTGACACAGATGTATTATTCTGAAGTTGAGTATTCATCATTATAGTTTTTACATCCCTTACATAGCATAAGTATTTCAAAGTACAAAATAAAGCAAAAATGAAAAATGCTGGTTGGTTATTGTTGTTCAGTGGAGTGCAACTGCTTTTCCCAGAAAATAAGCTTTAGCAGTTTTATCATATGATCTTTTGTTTTCCTGTATACTGGGCTGCTTGCCACAAAAATTCAATAGAATGCAAATTAAAAATTAAAAGGCCTTTCCAATTTAAGAATGAATGGTGAAAATATGAAGAATGTGCACTACCTTTTTTTATGATGCTACTGTCCTTTGGGTGATCACAATCAGTCTTTCAGGGGTTGAAAATAAATTGAATAGTCTTTTTATATATATTTATATTATACATATGTGTATATAGAGATGTGTTTGTGCACAGATACAGTCTTTATGGATTATGCCTTAGGTGTAGTGTCTGATCTACTGGGATTGCAGGTACTCCTAAAGGAGGTACTTGCTGCAGTAGTACATTTAAATGGCAATAAAATTCTCACCTTCTTAGCACTGCAGGAACAGGGATTGAATTAGTTTAGAAAAGACAGCACTTAAAAATTAGAATATGTGATTGGGTGTCACGATCCTGCTCAGTATTTAAAAACCTTGATTCCCATTTCCTTCAGTACAATTGAAAGGGACTCAACTTTTGTAAGTCTTATCCTTTCATGTACTGAGAAATAGAAAATCTAATCAATGTTTTGCTACCTATTTCTAAATGTGCACTTGTGTGAGAACATGGAGATTCCTTATGGGTAATGTATAAAGGAACACATTTTATTTTATTTTACTTTATTTTATTTTATGAAATTTAGCTTTTGCCCTACTTATATTTATGTACAATATACATTATTATTGTGGACTGTAGTGCACTGCACAAGTTTTCTGTTTCAGGTTAAGAATTCTCAAGTTACAGAAGTATACACAGCAATAACAGTAGCGTACAATGTTAAACTTTCTAAATGCTTTGACAAGAATGGGAGGAATCAAGAAAGCAGAGGTGTTACATTAAATCTCACCTCATTCTGTAAGTGATTTTAAGATGCTATTTATCAGACTTAGACAGTCTAAGTTTACTAGGAAGTAAGAAATGCGTTCAAACACTGGCTCTTTTTGATGGTATACGTAGGACTAAGATGCGCTTCATGTCTTCAAGACAGAGTGCGCGTGTTGGAGACATTCAAATCCCTAGTTAGTACTCCCAGAGTTTATAAAGCTATAGATAATAAACAGCCGTCGTAAAGAAATGTCGTAGCTAATAAGACCATGCCCACTTGCAAGAGAATTAACAGAAAACAAAGATCTCAACTTCAAGCTGGGAGGGGATTAAGGCACACATCTGTGTCTTGGTTTTCATGGGAAAACCAGTGCGTGTGGATTGCAGTGATACATTGAAAAGGCCCCTTGCCACAACACGCTGTGGAATGCAGTCACAGTTTCTGCATAGCTTTTGAATCTAGTGATATTCAGTTTAGAGGAATCTTAAGAGTGAAGAATGGAATTATGGTCACCAGTTCTAGCACAATATGCTGACTACTGCTAGTGCTTTCATTTTCATGGTAATGTTCAAGAAATGCACTGAGGTCTTCCAGTGAGTTTTATTTGCTTAAAAGGGAAATTACTAAAATGCTTTTTATGTTGCTTTATAGAATTAAGATGGCAGGACTTCTTTTGGAAAAGAAATAAAATAGGGAATTACTTCTAAATACTGCTTCTGTAGCATTTTCAGTGCTTAGATGCTTGCAGTCAAACCTGAAATTAAAAAAAAAAAAAACAAACCCCACATATCAATAGTTACTCTAATTACCTATCAGAGCAGACAAGAGGAAAGCCAGAATTTGCTGGCTGAATTTCCATCCTTCTGTACATCACTTCCAACGATTCTGTACCACATAGCCTTGATAGGCCACTACCTCTGCTGTAGTGGTGAACGCTGACTTGGTAATGGATGGCTTAAATAAGGTTTATGATGTTCAAGGATTTTTCTAAGGATTCATACATAGACTTATGATTATGAAAAATTTATTGGATTTCATTTGAATATTTAGTGGGTGTTTCCCATTCTCACTTACTTTTTTCCTCTCATTGACTCTTCCAGTTATTTCTTGCAGTTGTGAAACAGTTTACCCCAATGTTTGGTCTAACCTGAAAAAAAAAAACCCACCAAAAACTCCACAGTAGTGGTAAATTTTTAACTGGTTTATTTCATTTACCAGATTGACTGTATGGGGATAAAGCCAGTTCACACTCACTCTATGTGCAATGTTTTTTCTGTCTGCAGTGCAAGACAGGATAGATAAAAATTGTTACCCCTGTTGCCTATTTATTAGGAGTTATCAGTCTATTCATTAACAACTGTGTCTCAGAATAGTATCTGTAGCAACCATAAATGACTTTGACAGTCTTATCAGTGAGGCAGAAATTACCTGGGCAGAGGAGCTAAACTTGCTTTTATTACTTGGAGGTGATCTCTCTATGTCAAGATAAAGTACAGCTGCATGATATTTTGGTCCATTTTTTGTGTTGATTAATAACATCAGGCTGAATCTCTAGAATAATTACAGACAGTCTCAGTAAAGCACAGAGTCAGGTCTATTCTGTATTGGTGAACTGACCTCCTACTGCTTGTATTGTTATTTGCACATACAGAACTCTAAACTTCCTGAAAGTTACTCCCCACAAAATGCAAAGTTACATCTCTTAAAGATTGTTTTTAAGTACCAAGAAGTGCTCCTGACCTGTTGATGTAACACACTTATGCTGCAGTGGTGAGGAATGACAAATACATAACAATGCTTTTTGCTCTGTACATGGGAATCCAGTAGAAGCATTAAACAAAACTGCCTGGAACAACTGTAGGCTGTATGGCTGAAAGAAGCTCCAGAAGGAAGAGAGATCTCTATGGTCCAAGAGATAGGTCTGCAAAGAGACATTTCTACTACTGCAACGCACTATCATAATCAGAGTGCAGTTAATAAATGGTTAGAGGAGGGGCTGATTCTGTGGGATTTGGAATGAGGTGGGCTACTGCCAAAGCTCCTGAGAGAATGGGAGTTGTCTGATTTCTTATTTTTATCAAAATTATGTCATTGCATTTTTATGAAATAATAGTTGAAATTTGTCATCCAAAATAAAAACTTCCTTATTTGAACATGGTGGTTATGTAATTGAAAAGAAATGCTTCAGAAAGAAGGGTTCATTTAATGTCCGTAGGCTTTCAGGTTATAGGAAACAGTATTTGCTATTTGTAGATCGATCATGTTAGTAGTGGTGCACTTGTCTGCTGTCAGCTGATAGCTTTGTGTTTGGGTACCTAGAAAAAATACTGAAGTGTTTCAGTGTATTAAACTATTAATATAGTATCTTACTGATTAAAGCTATTTGTCCAGAAAGCAGGACTTTAAGGATGGAGGACTCATCTAACTTAGGGAAGTCATACTACCAGTGAAAGAGCGCCCTATTTTCTAAGTGTGTCGTTCAGGTTAGGTGAGAAGCATTCAAGCAATTCTGTTCAAAAACCTCAACAATGAAGCCTGCATAGCCTAAGTTCACACTGGGTCGCATTTTACACTCAGTATTGTTATCATCATACTAAGTATTTAATTAATGGAAGCCCATAAAAGTTATTGGATAATTCTTTTAGGTTACTTTATTTTCATCTGGCACCATGATCTATTCAGTTATCTGCTTCAAGATGTGACTTTTGAAATGTCATCCTCCCATATAGTTTGAACCTTGCAGCTGGTATTCTGGGCAGTGAAGCCTCTTGTAAATACCTAACTCAAAATTATGAATTGTACAACGTGATCTAAGGGACTGCTTACTGGGTCTGTCTGGGATGGAGTTAATTTTCTTCGTAGCAGCCAGGATGGTGTTGTATTTTGGTTTGTTAATAACACACCAGTGTTTTCATTGCTGCTGAGCAGTGCTTGCATGCCATCAAGGCTTTCCCTTTTTCCCATTCTTCCCCCTTTCAAATGGCTGGGAGTGGACAAGAAGTTGGAAGGGGACATAGCCAGGACAGCTGACCCCAAGTGACTAAAGGGGTATTCCATACTATATAACATTATGCTCAGCTGTAAAAAAGTGTGAGGAGGTTTTTCTGGGGGAAGCAATCAATGCATGGAGGCTGGCTGGGGATCAGTCTACTTGTA